ATATCCGTGAGTACTATTTATGAAGTTATCAAATAGCAGATTTGTACCGTATATTCCAGCATATTTTTATAGGGCCTTTCAACCTCTCGGAGCACAAAGGGCTTTCCATTGATGTAGATCACATGTTCTTCTCTCATGTTATGCCAAAAAACTGGACGACCTTCTTTGGAACTACCAATCCTTTGAATGACAGATAGAATCCCACTTACAGTTGGATTTGCAACACCATAGACAGGAAATCCAGGAATTTCTCTAAAATTAAGAGCACCCTCCAACCTTTCTGGCAAACTAGGATGGTGACAACCAGGACAATGGTCACTCTTAAGAACAGTTTGACTTCCAAGAACCTCTCCACTCCTTAAAGCAGCAACTTGGTCCATCTCAGAAGGGCGGCCATTGGTAGACTCCACATCATTTGCTGGGGAAGGTTTCAGGCTTGCATAGCCTAGTGCACCCATCGGGTCTCTTCTCAGCAACCTGCAGAATGGCAAGTTCTAACAAGTGCCACAAAGAAGTATGCCTAGTGTACACATGTAGAGAGACATAGAGAGCATTGAGAGAGAGTTATTTTCACTTTATTTGGAAAAAGACACAAACTAAACAAAAAAGACAATAGTGAGTAATTCTATGAAGTTTTAACAAAAGTGTGTGCATGCATTTGAGAAAGAGAGAACCTCAAGCTAAACAAGAATGAGAAAATTTTCACCTTTCAGATCACTGTACTATGGAAAGGAAGCCATCTTGTACAGAAAGGTTGTCAAGAAACAAAATTAGCAAGTCTTCAAAAACTATCCTCCCTCTTGATACCCATGAAGGATGATGTGACTGAACACATCAATCTACTGGTGACATACACATATAACTTTCTCCACTTATCTCTGAATAGCTATTCTGGTGTCTCCCACTTTCTTAACTACTTCAACATATATAAATAATAACATAACAGCTTTTATGTCCATTTTACTTGCCAACAATAAGAAAAAAACTTATCTTGATATAAAGAATATATTTAAATGTACTGGCAATCTAGCATACTAGATCATGCACAGATGTAGATTCTGCAATGTAGGAATACAGGCATTTTTTAATATACTTGTGACCCTATAATTCAAAGCAAAGGTGGTTTTTGAAACATCAACAGAGTAGACTTTCATCTTACCTGCGAAGTAGGGTGAAGTGCATCTCGTTCTGTGTGGAGATATACAGCAAAACAAATAAGGAACTAATATCTTTCCAAATACTCCACAAAAAAGGAAAGTGCTGCTTCCCTCTTCATCTCATCAGGCTGACGTAAAATGCTGTTCCGATAAGTAGCAATAGCTTCACGTAGGTTCTGAAATGAGATTCACATACTATCAGTTCAAACTGATGGAATTTGAATATCTTGGAAATTGACAATAGAGCCAGATGGTAATGGAATTTTCTATAGAAAAGTCACCCCACACCTGAAATAAATGTGACTAAAATCTCATTGCATAGTTCTTAATTCTATATGAAGGAAAAACATGAATGAGAGCAAAGTTTGTACAAGTTGTATAGGCTTTCTATGAAATACAAGCGGGTTTTAAACAGCTAGAATATGAGGATGCCCCTACCTGCATTGAGGCACATCTGTCAATGACTTTATCCACTTGTTTTTTGCCTTCAACGCCACCCTAAAGGTATAATTCCAATCAGAACATTCAAATCAGATATTCTATTTATCCAAACATGGAGATTAAAGATTATGAGATTTTCCAACCTCCAAAACTCGAATCAAGCTTCTAATAACTGTATATTCTCCTCTACGAATTGCATCCTCTGAGTTGGGCATAATATCAGTAGCATTGGCACCACAACTGGAAACTCTGCCAATTGAATTTGTCCTTGGAATTCCTGATAAATGAGAACAACAGCATCACACTGGAATGGTTTAACTAAAGACACAAGCAAAGCTGGGAATGTTTTTATCTTGAATCAGATCATCAAAGTCATGCTCTCTGTCAAGCCACCACTAAGAACATAACTAAATGTCACAATTCACAAATGAAAATCCTACTTCCAGCATTTATAAATGTCACAATTCACAAATAAAAGATATTAGTATACTACTTTGTATTATATATGTATGTCAAATCATGCACACGGTTTTCAATTCACCTAATCAGAACACAAAGCATGCCAACTCACCCATGTTTCTCAATTCACAAAACTAGAATGTAAAAACACCCAAAAAAATGTAAAGCACCCATTGAAAGGTTGGAGTTTCACAAACCGGAAACTGATCTGCTCTGCCCTCGACGCCGCCTACTGCTTCGCCGGAGCTCGCCGATGAAGACCGCCGCTGCTGCGGCCGACGGAAAGAATAGAGGAGAGAAGGAGGCCCGGACGTTCAAGCTGCCCTCAGCTCGCCGGAAGGAGTCAGAACTGAATGCTCCGTAGCTTCTTCGCGCCACTGGTTCGTCGCGTATGTGCAATCTCGCTGGCCGGGAAAAGGAAAGCGGCTGATAACAGTGGTGGGTGGTCGCTGGTGGAGGCTGATGCTCACTGCGGTCGACGAAGAAGAAGGTGTCGATGGTGATGGTGGCGGCGGCTGTTATCTTAGGAATAAAGAGAGACTCCGACAGTATATATTTATATTCTAACAAAGCTAGGGTTTTGGGTCACAATTCATATTTATATTTTGTTAGATAATATACTAGTATTTGACCCGTGCGGTGCACGGTATGTAAATTAAAAAGTATTTAATTTTTATATTTTATGTTAACAAATTGTGTGAAATAATGAGTTTAAAATTGATAAGATATAACTGAAATATGATTCGAAATTCAACAAAAACAATATGAAAATGTTATATTACAGATACTTTAGGGTCAATACAGTAATAAGAAATAACAAATATAAAATCACAAATTATTGAAAACTTCGTGATATACAACATTAGTGGTTGATGTAGTCGTTGAAATTGGGTCTTTGACTATCAATATTTTTAGACCGTCTGGACTGTTAACTCGAGAAGCAGCAACGTACAACTGGCCATGAACAAAAACTGGTTTTTTTAGAATTAAACCAACATGAGTTAACGTTTGTCCTTGACTTTTGTTAATGGTCATTGCATATGAAATCATAATTGGAAATTGCCTTCGTTGAAATTTGAACGGCAATCTTGGATCAGAGGGTGAAATTGATATTCGAGGTATCAACACTTTTGTACCTTTGTTAGGTCCAGTCAGAATCTCGCCTTCAATAACATGATCAGCTAACTTTGTGATTATCAACCGTGTGCCATTGCACAAACCCAGGGAATGGTCAATGTTTCTCATTAACATTACTGGGCATCCTATTTTGAGTGTCAATGCATGATTTGGCAAACCTGAAACCCTAATGCTGTTTAGAAATTCCGGTGTGTGCACATCTCCAAAAATACTGTTGTCGCCATCGGCTTTGCATACTGCGTCTGAACTAAAGTACGATATGCTCTCGGCATTGTGCAACTCAGTCATATATTCGTTCACTGAACCCTAAACAAATACGTACTCCTTATTGTCGTTCGAATCACATTGTCACCTGTCGATTGCCATGACGACTATTATCAAAATCGATTCATTAATTCTTTAACTATTGAAATTGAAAACACTTACCATTTGAAATGATACTTAAAGGCGTATTTAGTGAACTTTGGAAAACGCCAATTAGCGGTGTACGTATTTGTGTATCATTGTTTGATTCAAAGGACGGCCTGGATGATGGATTATTGACATTGATATCTACATTACCTGTTACAATTATACATTGTCATCAATACACGTGTATTATTTCGTGTAACAATTTTAATTACTCATAGAAATATATATTATAATTAATCACTCCAATTAACACAATATTGAGACATAATTGTATACACACAATGTTAAAGTAATCTATAAATTGTTATTCACTAATGAGTAATATTTACAATTAATAAATAATTGACTACATGAATTTGTGATACATTTTAAAAAATTTAGTGTTCAAATCATACTAATAATATCTATGCGGAGTAAATAATAAATGTATTTATGGTCCGGACAATTAATTACATTACGAATACATAGTACTCCATCATTTTGACTATGTTTATGAGAAAAAAACATGTTGAACCAAGATGCTTAGCATAATAATAATTATTTAATTTGTTTTATACTAATACATTTTAGTTTTATTATAATCAAATTTATATATAAAGAATATTATTTGAATTATTATAATAATAATAATACTAATACTAACTGTAAACAAAAGTACTGTAATTAAACAAAAATTATAATAATACTAATTAGATTAACAGTACTAATAATATTAATTCTAACAATATAAAAAAACATAATAATAGTAACAAACTAATATTTCTAATATTAAGAATAATAATAATAATAATAATAATAATAATACTAACAATAACAATATTAATAATAATAATAATAATAATATGAATAATAATAATAATAATAATAATAATAATAATAATAATAATATAATGAGCTTTGTGTGGCGTGATGAATACAGCTGTCTTCTACCTTCAGCCCACCGATACTACCCTTCGTAAAAGGCTCCTACAGTATTCCTAAGCTAAGAGTTGCTTGCATTGTATCTTTTCTGGCCAAAATTGTACTCAAATTGCGAAGCGAGGGCTTTCGATTTGGCCATTTCTCTCACTCTAAACTATGGATTCGCGATGAAGATGATCTTACTGGGAAGTAGAGGTTGACTGATTCGACTAACAAATACTAAATCCGAGTGTTAACACCATAGTCAAACCGATTCGGAGTAAGAGAAGCGGTTTCTTGCTATATATTAGCAAAATACAAATCGGCTTTCATGGATGATGGAGAAATCGAAGGTTTATGGTAGTAGATGCATCGATTTCGAAGAATGGAGACATGCAGAAATGTTTGTTGTTCAACCCAATTCCTACAATTGTTTGGCAGTTGGGTAAGAATTTCTAACCCTATCTCTTTTAATCTTTCAAATTTAGGTAGTTTTGTAACCCTATCTATCTAAAACGCATACATTTAGACCTAATTTATAGCTATCGTCTAAATCTGTTATGAAATTTGTTTATCCGAACAAATCTATACTGTAATTTGTATAGTTTATAGCTTTCGAGATAGAATTTGGTCCAAGAACACATGCGTAGACAGTAGATGATTATAGATAGCATTTAGGGCTATAATCGAAAACAGATTCTTATCATTAAGTCTAATAGTTTAGAAAATTACCTTGGTTGTTGCTGTTCTGCTTCCTTTTGGGACCAATCGTGGTTGAAGTGGTAATCCTCTTCATATGTTGGTCTGGAAATACCTGCTATGGACTTCCAATGAACAGTTTTGTATAGGTGTTTATGCAGAGACAAAAAAAAATGTCTATGTGGATTGTTATATAGTAGTACAGACTTCAAAACCAAGATTGGTAGCCCAACATTGGAAAATGGCCAATATAAACAGTGTGGGAATACTAAAAGTTTTTCTTATTGTTGGCAAGTAAAATGGACATAAAAGCTGTTATGTTATTATTTATATATGTTGAAGTAGTTAAGAAAGTGGGAGACACCAGAATAGCTATTCAGAGATAAGTGGAGAAAGTTATATGTGCATGTCACCAGTAGATTGATGTGTTCAGTCACATCATCCTTCATGGGTATCAAGAGGGAGGATAGTTTTTGAAGACTTGCTAATTTTGTTTCTTGACAACCTTTCTGTACAAGATGGCTTCCTTTCCATAGTACAGTGATCTGAAAGGTGAAAATTTTCTCATTCTTGTTTAGCTTGAGGTTCTCTCTTTCTCAAATGCATGCACACACTTTTGTTAAAACTTCATAGAATTACTCACTATTGTCTTTTTTGTTTAGTTTGTGTCTTTTTCCAAATAAAGTGAAAATAACTCTCTCTCAATGCTCTCTATGTCTCTCTACATGTGTACACTAGGCATACTTCTTTGATTTGTATCTGCTATGCGTGTATCTCTACGTATATATACTGGAATCGACACCTTTGGATGGTGCACGAGCTCACTTGAATCTGTTTGGCCATCTAGTTTGCGGGTGGTGAGTGGATATTGCTTTCTGCAATGCCGGTAAGGTGTTTGATGAATTGTTTGTGAGATTTTCAGTTGTATAGGTGCGAGTGGATGTCTGCTTCTTTGCCTAATTTCAACAAGTTGTTGACGAGTTAATTGAACAATGTTGGTGAAACGTGCGTTTTGGAGTTACGTTTCCACTTCCGGCTTCTCTTCGTTGGCAGCTACGAATTTGCTTAAATGCGGGGATGTTTTGAAGCAAGCTCGGGTGTTTACGGAAGTAGATGTTGTTGAATACTCGAAGCTGAGTCATGATACCAACCCCTTGCATTTTGACTCAGAATGTGCCAAGCTTGCTGGATTCAGTGACAGGCTTGTTCCTGGAATGTTGGTCGCTTCCTTATTCCCAAGAACCATCGCTTCAAATTTTGTAAGTCCGACTCATCAATTTTTTATACTTTTATCAAGTCATTTTGTTTAAGCCTCATTTCTCTTTTGGTGTTTGGAAATACTTGTAGCCGGGAGCTGTATATGTTTCGCAAATGTTGCAGTTCAAGTTGCCAGTGTACATTGGAGAGGAGATAGTTGGTGAAATATGTGCAACAAATATCAAGGTTCTGAAAGCAAAACATGTGTAGGTTGCCCTGGCTGAATCCCCCCTGATTTCATGTATTTTCATCTAGATTCCATGTTCCTTCTTCTCCAAGCTCTTCAATTCGTTTTGATTGTCAGGGTCAAATTTTTCACCAAATGCTTCAAACGTGATGGCGCGCTTGTTATTGATGGCGAGGCCACAGCGATCCTGCGGAGTCTGAACAAAGAACCAGCTCGGCACTGCATATTTTTTGACAATAAGTAGGAGATGAATTTTGTGCATTCATGGGGAGTTTCCTAATCACACTCTTTATTTGGTTTAGTGCTTAGATATATTGGAACTTGTAAAGGGTCTAAGAACTACTGATGTAACATTGGGCGGTACCTGTTTGGTACTTAAACTGAATTCTTTACCTACCAAAAAAAAAGATTGAATTTATGAGTTTTTGTTTTGTTTTGTTTTTTCCCCCATTTATGAGTAGTTTGGGTATTTCTATAAATAGAACATACTATGTTTGGTATGGGGATAAAAGTAGAAGGGTTGGATAATACAGCCAACAGAGGAGGTATAGGGGTAATTATCCTCAATGTCTTTGGAGGAAATTTGAAGAGAAGTCAATAATGGGTTTGCTGCCGCCCTTCTATACTAGAATTTTCAACCCCTTTCTAACATTGGATTGATGAGAGGGCGAAATCACTTTTACTCCCTCACCTTGTTAGTCCATAGAAAATGAGTATGACTTCATTTCCTTTTAGCAGAAAAATATCTACCCTTTCCTCTTGGAACTCATTAAGAAATACAAAGGTTGGATGGTTATCATGCAAGTCCCAATATATCTTAAGAGGGAAACAACTTTTAACTTTGAAAGCTAGCTGGAATTTTTCAAAAACACTTTTCTCCATCTGTTTGAGTTGGGTTTGATTCCGAATATGTTTAGTCAATATTTTGAAATTAAGGATCTTGGAAAGTTGAAGTATTTTCTTGACATAGATGTTGCACAAAAAAAAAAGGTATTTGTGTTTCTGAGTGGAAATATGAATTGAATATTCTTTGAAGAGAAAGGTATGTTGGATTGCAATCCTCATATGAGGGCAAGTGGGATGTAGTTTTTAGAATTTTAAGGTATCTAATAAGGTCTCTAGTACTAGTTTGCTATATGAAAATCATTGACATGTAAAGCTCCTTGGTTATACGGATGTAGATTGGGTCAGATACCCTTAGGATATCATATCTTGGAAAGTAAGAAACAAGATATGGTTTAGATTTGATAAAATATGAAAACAAATTGGTTTTCACTGAGCTGGGCATCAATATATTCTCCAAAGCTTTCTAACTTCTGCAGTATACTAAAATTTTCTTCTAGGATCAAGCAGTCGAAGCATCTTAAGTTTCAAACCAGCATAAGTGTTTACAGCCACTCATTACTGGAATAACAAATAAATACAGTTTTGAGTGGAGAATGGCTTAAATTTGATAAAATATGAGCCTGTATTTCTTTGGAGGCTACATAGCAATCCTTCTACAATAGCACAGATGCACCATATATCATGCACTAGAACCATAAGAGAACTAGAATATTTCCTCATGTGCTCAGAATGATGTTTCTATATCAACATCATGCTACTACAAAAAATCTGAGTCTAACAAGAACACACTCAATCCACAAAGAAATATGTTTATGGGGAAACAAGGAAAGCCAAAAAGGAAAGAAATCCAATATGAAACAACCAAAGCAAACTTTATCTAAGAGAGATTCTCAAACACGCCAAAAACATCAAAGCTAATTACTGAAATAACATATAATAATATAAAGGATCTTAAAGGCAGCACAATTAGGTCTTAGTGCATATGGAAGTACTTGTTTCCCATCTCAATTTGGAGCCTATCTAGTACCTAAAGTAGAAGTTAGGTCAAACGCTAAAAAAGAAGAAAACCATCTTTTTCAAGAAGCTCCAAATTACAACTATTTTAAAAAAGATATATATGTTTGACAAAGCCAATAACTGAGCCAAACAGGGACTGCATTTAGAGATTGAAATTCCAGCCAATAAACCAAGCAAAGCTTACACTAATTTCGAAAAACTAAAGGCCAGAAAATTGAAGTCTCCAGAAAATGAGTAATAAAAAAGATTATAACTGAGCTATGAAGTCTCCAGACAAAGCCAATCTCTGGAATGGGGCTGATTCAAGAACACAGTGCAGAACTTTCAATACCAATAAAGTTCCAAGAGGGGATGTAGAGAAAATGAATTACCGGTCAGAAATGGAGGAGGAGGCGACGGCTATGGAGTTTTGGTGATGACCACGGCGGACCGGCGACGGCTGCACGGTGATGACGACGGCGGTGTGCTGCTGTCTTCTACGATGGAGTGTATGCGATATTGTTCGCGAGGGAGTAGCGTCTGATGTCTTTTAGGACTTAGGGTTAAAAATGTTTTTTAATTTTAATTTAATTCTAATTTTGTAGTCAAAACGCAGCGTTTAAGTATACAAAAAAATAAAATTTAATTAAAATATTGCGACGGAATCTGAGTGGTCGCAATTTCCGTCGCCATATTTAGTCCATAATCCAAAATTTAATTCATTTAAGGACGGAATCAAATCGGTCGCTAATTCCGTCGCCATTTAACGACGGAACACAAATCGGTCGCCTTTTCGATCGCAAAATGGACGACGTAAATTACTTCCGTCGCCAATTCGGTCGTGAATATTTGCCGCGTAAATGATTTCGCGGACATTATTTCGCGGACTTTATTTTATCTTCGCGCCAACATACACGACGGAAGTAATTTACGTCGTCCATTTTGCGATCGAAAAGGCGACCGATTTGTGTTCCGTCGTTAAATGGCGACGGAATTAGCGACCGATTTGATTCCGTCCTTAAATGAATTAAATTTTGGATTATGGACTAAATATGGCGACGGAAATTGCGACCACTCAGATTCCGTCGCAATATTTTAATTAAATTTTATTTTTTTGTATACTTAAACGCTGCGTTTTGACTACAAAATTAGAATTAAATTAAAATTAAAAAACATTTTTAACCCTAAGTCCTAAAAGACATCAGACGCTACTCCCTCGCGAACAATATCGCATACACTCCATCGTAGAAGACAGCAGCACACCGCCATCGTCATCACCGTGCAGCCGTCGCCGTGCCGCCGTGGTCATCACCAAAACTCCATAGCCGTCGCCTCCTCCTCCATTTCTGACCGGTAATTCATTTTCTCTACATCCCCTCTTGGAACTTTATTGGTACTGAAAGTTCTGCACTGTGTTCTTGAATCAGCCCCATTCCAGAGATTGGCTTTGTCTGGAGACTTCATAGCTCAGTTATAATCTTTTTTATTATTCATTTTCTGGAGACTTCAATTTTCTGGCCTTTAGTTTTTCGAAATTAGTGTAAGCTTTGCTTGGTTTATTGGCTGGAATTTCAATCTCTAAATGCAGTCCCTGTTTGGCTCAGTTATTGGCTTTGTCAAACATATATATCTTTTTTAAAATAGTTGTAATTTGGAGCTTCTTGAAAAAGATGGTTTTCTTCTTTTTTAGCGTTTGACCTAACTTCTACTTTAGGTACTAGATAGGCTCCAAATTGAGATGGGAAACAAGTACTTCCATATGCACTAAGACCTAATTGTGCTGCCTTTAAGATCCTTTATATTATTATATGTTATTTCAGTAATTAGCTTTGATGTTTTTGGCGTGTTTGAGAATCTCTCTTAGATAAAGTTTGCTTTGGTTGTTTCATATTGGATTTCTTTCCTTTTTGGCTTTCCTTGTTTCCCCATAAACATATTTCTTTGTGGATTGAGTGTGTTCTTGTTAGACTCAGATTTTTTGTAGTAGCATGATGTTGATATAGAAACATCATTCTGAGCACATGAGGAAATATTCTAGTTCTCTTATGGTTCTAGTGCATGATATATGGTGCATCTGTGCTATTGTAGAAGGATTGCTATGTGAATATATATGGTGGTATAGAAATTTAGTACATTGAATCTGATAAAAATAAAGATACAACTTTGTCCATTTGATTGTGTCCTAGTATCAAATTATGAATCAATAAAGATAATGTATATTTTGGGTTCAAGGCATGCCTGGTAAGTTCTCCCAATACATAGTTTTGAAGAAACTGAGGCTCTAAGATTTAAATTTGTATTTGCATGCACTTAGATTTCTGCAGAAGTGAAGCATTCAGAGGATCTAATTGCACTCTAACAAACAGGTTGATATTCATAAGTTTTAATGGCCATCATCTTCAAAGTTTTATTGTGTTAATGCTTATTATACATGGGAGGCTAAAATGGTTTGTTTTATTATCCTTGTTTCAATTAAACCATGAAAATCATTATTTCGTAGCAGTATGCTCTTGAATGTGCACTCTTAGGAAGCATGACCCTGATTCCCTGAATGCTGTTTGAAATTCATTTCTTCAAATGCAATTTCTGAGTATGGACTTCAAAACTAAACTACTGTTATTATTCATTTACCCTTTTAGTAAATTATTAACTGTGTAAATTATTAGTTTAATAATAAATTATGGAATCAGTATTCATAATATTCAAATATCAATGTTTAAGGTGATGCATTTCTATATACTTAACTGTGTATATTATTAGAGTGATTATCAAATATCAATGTTTCTTTCTGCAATGATCAATATAACTCTTGATAAAAACTAGTAGAGCAAAGAAATTATCTATGTAATTCTAATTGCTAGAATTAGAATATTCATTTCATTTTGCTTGCAGCTTATCAATCATTATTGTGTGGACCATGGTCCATACAAGTTGTGTGGATCATATTTTGTTTACTATAAAACAATGTACATTCATTGTAGGAAAGTGATACTATTGGCTGCAAGTTTTTGGAATTAGTGATACTAAAAGTTACTTTCATTTGTAGGAAAGTGAAGTTGCAAATTACAATGATGATTGGATTTCTTCTGCAATTCAATCACTGAAGAAGGCATCACCTATATGCCTTAGAATTTCTCTAAGATCGGTATGTTACAAGTCCAAACATGAGTTAGATTTCATCCTGAATCAACACTGAATTATATTTCACCCTTAATTCTTTAATTTGTTTAAAGCTAAATTCATCAACATTTCCATGCACCACCCTTATATGCCAAATATTGTTTACTGTTATCTAGCTTTAAGAGTTGGTTCTCTTACTTCTATCGATAATAAGGACTAATTTGATTGCTTCTTTGTTACTAAATATATTGCATAATCATTACTTTGAAAACTATGATAATATATGTGCAAATATGTAGGCATATATAAATGAGTAATATGGATAGAAGTTGGATGTATCAAAGACGAACTCAACGTGGTGATCTTAATCAAGATTTTATTGAAGGATTGGAAACATTTATTGAGTTTGCATGTAGTAAGCCAAATTTTATGGATGGAACTAAAATTCGATGTCCATGTAAAAGATGTCGTCACATCTCATTTGAAGAAGCTGAGATGGTGAGATTTCACTTGTGCAAATTTGGTTTTGTGCCAAATTACTTTGAGTGGAATAGACATGGAGAAATGTCACACAATCAAACTTCAATGGAGTTTGATGCAAATTGGAGTTTAAATGAGCAAACTCTACGTAGAGGCGGTTCATAGATGAATCTGGGCAAAAGTAATGAAGATCACTGGCAGTAGGAATAAGTTCCCGACACTCACGTCTTCCAAGGCAGCCCAGCCCTCGCAGGACGCATCGACGGAGAATCAGGAGCTCTGGTGCGGTAGTGCGATTGCGGAAGGATACTGGCGGAGGCTTTGTTGGGAGGAAGAGCATGCTGCACACCTATCTGCTGCGGTGGAAGTTCAATGAGGATGTAGAATACAATGTTGCGGAAGAGGGATGCCCATCAGAAAGGTATGTCGCCATCGCTAGCCAATTGTATCTAAAGTTCTAAACATCCGAAAGAAAATTCGGCCAGTGAAGAAGAAGCTAAGTGAGAAACAATGGAGTTTTGATTTTGGTCCTCTCATGTCATCGGGAAGAAGAAAATTAGAGAAAATGACCATTTTATCCTATAACATAACGCCTAACTAACGGATAGATAACAAAAGGACCAATGCTGGAACAAATGTGAAAGTCAAGTGTCTTTTTTGTCCAAATTAAAAGTCAAGGAACAATTTTAGAAAATCGCAATAGTCGGAGGACCATTGCTGGAATTAACTCTAATAGTAATAACACCAAGGGTAGTAATGTCATTTTATATGTTTTTCCTTTCTCAAATTCATTGAATTGCAATTCTCTCCAACCAAATAATGTATTTGAAACATCCACTGAATTTTAATTTAACTACAGCTAAATTACAATGAACCGAAAGCCATGTGAATTCAGGGGATTCTAATTTTTTTTTTTTTATAACCCTGGTTTAATAAAAGGGATTTGAGCGTCATTGGGTTTGGGTTCGATTATCCATTTCCCTTCTCTCCTCCTCTCTCTTCTCTCTTCCTCACTCCGTGCTCCCTGCATCATTCCTCTATAGAAACCGATACATATATACGCACCATCTCCTCTCTCTTTCTCTCTCCCTCCCATATATATATATATATATATATATATATATATATATATAACTTATATGCATACGTGGTTGTCACTTTGTCGTCCTTTTCGAACAATTCACAGATCGGTGCTTTCGCAGATCCGGTTAATTTCCCTCTTCTCTCCGTGGTAAGATATCCTTGTAGTCTCGTGTTTATGTATTATCCGTGGTCGTATTTTTTTTTTTTTTTTGTTTTTTTGTTTTTTTGTTGGCATTTGAAACTTTGAATTTTAGGGTTTGGACAACGTCAGGTGATCGTATTCGAATTGTGTCTGGAGAGTTTAGGTGTTTTTTGTGCTCAAAGAAGTTTGATATTTTCGCATCCGTAAAAGTAGTCTTTGTGTGTTTAGGCATTTGGTAACCGGTAGTCAGTACTGCCTTCTTCCTTTATTATCCAGTGGTATTAGTACACTTATTTTCGAGCTGCGGTTAGGAGAGGGCTAGTATTGCCATGAATTTGAGAATTCTCTCCATTATGCATTGTTATATGCAATTGGAGTTTTCACCTTGTTATGTAGTCATCAATGTAGACTTGGGAGTGTATTTGAAATTTATATGACTTGTGTGAATCTTTATGCATACTTCAATTTTAAGGTTTGCTCTGTTTTTACATCCATCACATCAGGCCATGTGGGTTTGTTAATGAGGTTTGTCATAAGATGATTTGTTGTGTGGTGTTTGGAGTGAAGTTTGTTGGAGGAATGCACTATTTTAAGAGTTTGAAGGTGAACTTAGCTAGCTTACTAGAAATAGAGTAACTTATGCAATCATTCATCATAAATCATAGCGGGTTTAACAAATTGAATGTCTGTTGTGAATTATATGCTCAGAGGCTTTTGTCTGAATGCTTGGGCTGAGCATTATTTGAATGTATGGTCATAATTTGAACATTTTAGCTATTGTGTATGAAGTGTGATCATGTGCATTTGTGGAACAGGTAGTACTCATCAACATACAAACACTCAAGAATGTATATGCATCTGGTATTTCTGCATTTGTAGAATACTTGTAGTGTTAGAACTTAGAAACATGGTAAACCAATGATAAGTTTCATATTTGTTTCCCTAAAACAAGGAGAGTGAAATGCTGACATGTCTTTACTTGAAAAATGGAAAGCAAATAGTGTGTTGATATATTGATGATCTTTGGTACTTGAGCCAGTTTCATTAGACACTTATATGATCTATTTAGTCATTCTGGCACTTAGCTTGATAACGCTGTGAACTGCTTTGCTTAATTTCTTCTTGCTCTACTGACTTTGATTACTTTTACTGCTTACTACAATGTGACAAGCAGTTTTAACTGTTTTTTCTTATTGAGATATATGTTTTAATAACTTATACATTTGGAAACTGGTGAATTAGAGTCAGACTTTCTAATGCGTGTTAATTGAAGTGTGAGACAGACTTTATACTGTTACAACTAAATTACAATTGAGCATTAAAAAAGGAAACTATTTGGACACATTGATAAAGTAGTAGTAGTAGACCGTAGTATCGTTTGTTTGTTTGTTTTTTTTTTTTTAATAAGATAAGATAAATTGTAGTATGTTGTGATTCTTTACTAGTATATTTTGTGATATTAACTTAGTGTGTAAAGTGCGTTCATATGATTCTATGGAGCTATTGGTTGTACTTTTTGCTTATCAGATATGTTTTCACACTCTAAAAAGTGAGAAATTAGAAGTTTGTACATGAAGTGAGAGGTGAGCTAGTTGACCAGGTTAGGCTTGGCATAAGCTGTGTTCAAAATGAGCTCAAGTGAGATCAAACATTATCTTGTTCTAAACTCCATATTTCAGATAGTGGGATTAGATCTTTTCACATATTTTTCTTTGCCATCGGAGAGAATATTTTCCTTTTACTTCACATAGGATCATTATTGAGAGGCCTTACTAGTTTGTTGAGGATTGTTCTCAAGTGTATTTGAAAAAATGTTTGCTTGCAATTTCTTTGGCAGAATTTCTTTATTTTTCTCTAGATGAGTTGCTGCTTTTATAGTCTCTTTCATGTGATTGTATTTTAATCATGTTTCAAATTTACAGGATTTAAGGTTGTAGTTTGGATGACATTAGATCTATATATTAACAATGACTTCAAGTATGTTAACTGGGGAGTGAAGGTAATAATAATTCTTGTTCTGAATCTCTGTCATTCATTTTACTTTTCAAGTGCAAATGAGAACTCTTCCTGTTCATTTTACTGTTTTCTGAACCTTTCCTGGTGTAACATGATGTGGATTCATGCCAATGTAGTTCTGGGCTTTAATACCTCAAAATTTATGTTGACAAAGAGATGTAATTGATTTTCTAGCTGTGGAAAATAAGACAAATCTGAAATATGGAAAATCATGAAGGTGAGAAGGTCATATATTCTGAGTCTGGAATGAGATTTTAGAATTTCCTTGTAGCTATTCCAGTAAATGAGCATATAGGCTAAGGGCTTGTTTGGTAAATGGTGGTTTGCCACTTTGGCATTTTGACCTTGGTCAAAATGCCAAAGAAGATTTTTGGTTATTCAACGGTTTGCTCCAAACCGCTGAAAACAAAAACGATGCTGTCCCTCAATAATACTTGCCTATCAATGGATGTGCATGCAAATTTAAGGAGCCTGAGGCTCCTTTATAAGGAGCCTCAAGGCTCCAAATCCTCCAATCCGACTTTTCCCACAGATGTGGGAAAAGCTAGAAAACAAAGGGATCCCCTTATTATTATTATTATTATTGTTGTTGTTGTTGTTGTTTTTTTTTTTTAATGAAATATATGTATACCCTTATAGGTCATCTTACATGTTAACTACTATCCGAAACAACTAATTTTACCAAACATCTTTTTATAAATCGCTGATACAATCCGCTGGTCAAAACCGCTAACACAATCCGCTATCCGCTAACGCCAATTGCCAAACAAGGTCTAAATATTAAATTACTTTATTTTCATTCATCATGAGCTCTAGTTTTATCACCAATGACATTTCTTTTTTTATGGATAACAATATGAGAAAATGATAAACGTTTGAGCAAGACTAATAAGGCACTAATTCAAGATGAAAAGAAAGTAACCAATCAATCAATCATCAGATTTGCATGTCATAAATGGTGCAGAATTCATGGGATTGGAGCAGAAAATTAAGGGAAAACAAATCACACGAATTATGCTATTTACTTATTTATTCATTGTATTAGTTGGGTGTTTGACAATTGGCTATTGGCCGTTAGCTGATAGCTTATTGTGTTAGTTGGTTTGACTAGCTGATAGTATTAGCTGGTTATAGAAATGTGTTTGATAAATTAGTTGTTTACTCTTTAGCTGATTACATGTAAAATGATATATAAGGGCATAAATATATTGTGTTATTTACTTAACTCTTAATTAAACCCTAAACCCTGAACCCGCCATCCCCTTGTGGTCTGATGGCACCCGGGTTGGACCTTTAAATGGAAGGTCTCAGGATCGATTCCCATCACATGCATGGGTCGGAATAATTTGTTGAAAAAAGGGTCCAGGAAGGACTTGGGGAACCAGGGTCTAGATGGAACAATGTGGAACCAAGTAGAACCAGGAATAGGGAAACCAAGGGTCTAGGTGCTACACGGTGGGGTCTAGGTGCAACGATGTGGAACCAAATAGAACTAGGAACATGGAAACCAAGGGTCTAGGTGGAATAAAGTGGGCGTTGTGCAACCAAGTAGAACCAGGAACAAGGAAACCAAGGGTCTAGGTGCTAAACCAGAAGTGTTACACTTAGTCTAATTTAATATTCAATTAAATCCACTCTAGCCTGTGCCATAATATTGACCCAAGAACAACTCCAAAACCTATCAAATTTTGGAATGCCAAAATTCCCATATTTCTTCACAATTCCATACAGCCCCAAGCTGCAAATCCACCCAGTATAAAACAAGCAACCCGCAGCTCAATATTAAAGCATCATCTAGGGGTAATGTAGCAGCAACCCTCCACTAATATAATTCGATAATTATAACACCCAAATATGTGAAAATTTTATTTAATTTTATTTTATATACACCATACACCATAGTTTCATTAAAACACAACTACATGATAATTTCGATATAACTACAGCTTTGTTAATTGTTACACAATATACACTCAAAAATGTGAAATGTTATTCAATTTCATTTTATATATATTGTAGTTTCATTTCAACACGCCTACAGTTTCATTTCAATTCAATTATAGTTTAATTTGATAATATAAAAACAATATGTGAGACAATTTCATTTTAGATACAATGTAGTTTCATTTTGTAATTAACACACCAAAAATACGAGTTTCGTTAAACTGTAACAACAACCGTTTCTTTATTTAAAGAAACGGCACTGTTTTTGGACCATGATCCACAAAGCTTTGTAGGCCATGGCCCACGATATAATTGCTGCCTAGCTTATATAGTCATTAAAAAAAAAATCTATTTCTCTGACGGCTAAGCCCAGCTGCCCACTATCCTTAATATTTAACCCATATTCCTCATTTTTATTTCTTTAAAAAAAAAAAGTAATGCATTTTTAAATTTAATTTAGCATAGCGCCATAGCGGGCTTTCAAGTCTCATCTCACTCCACAGCCACATGTACGTGTTTCTCGTCTTTCATTTGATTTGTATCTGCTATGCGTGTATCTCTACGTATATATACTGGAATCGACACCTTTGGATGGTGCACGAGCTCACTTGAATCTGTTTGGCCATCTAGTTTGCGGGTGGTGAGTGGATATTGCTTTCTGCAATGCCGGTAAGGTGTTTGATGAATTGTTTGTGAGATTTTCAGTTGTATAGGTGCGAGTGGATGTCTGCTTCTTTGCCTAATTTCAACAAGTTGTTGTTGACGTGCGTTTTGCTGGATTCAGTGACAGGCTTGTTCCTGGAATGTTGGTCGCTTCCTTATTCCCAAGAACCATCGCTTCAAATTTTGTAAGTCCGACTCATCAATTTTTTATACTTTTATCAAGTCATTTTGTTTAAGCCTCATTTCTCTTTTGGTGTTTGGAAATACTTGTAGCCGGGAGCTGTATATGTTTCGCAAATGTTGCAGTTCAAGTTGCCAGTGTACATTGGAGAGGAGATAGTTGGTGAAATATGTGCAACAAATATCAAGGTTCTGAAAGCAAAACATGTGTAGGTTGCCCTGGCTGAATCCCCCCTGATTTCATGTATTTTCATCTAGATTCCATGTTCCTTCTTCTCCAAGCTCTTCAATTCGTTTTGATTGTCAGGGTCAAATTTTTCACCAAATGCTTCAAACGTGATGGCGCGCTTGTTATTGATGGCGAGGCCACAGCGATCCTGCGGAGTCTGAACAAAGAACTAGCTCGACAGTGACTGTCGAGCTGAAGAACAAAAAATTATTTCTTGTTTAATGGTCAAAATGCATGATTTTGGTGTACTCGATTGTTGCCCGCAGAACAACACAAAGTTCTTCCCCGTTTAATGGTCGAAATGCATGCTTTTCCAGTAACCAGTTTTTGTTGAGCAAAGTAGAAATTAGAATTATGGACTGAATTTTGACAAACAAAATAAATTGACTTTATTGCTAATTCTACCGTCAACAACTCAAAACTATGAAGAACCGGAGGATGTTTAAGTTAAGAGTTAATTCCAGCAATGGTCCACCGATTATGTTGATTTTTCACATTTAGTCTTCGTTTTTTAATTTGGACAATTTAATCATCCCACTATTAAATTTTTTCCAATTGAGGTCCTTCCATTAAGTGCTGGTTAAGTGGGTGTCAATTCGAGGGATAAAATCGTCTTTTCCTTACTCGGTGCATAAATCTGAACCAGAATTTATAACGTCGTCAGTGCCGCCATTAATGCAAATCCTCATCATCATCACAACCTAGAGCTTCAACTCCTGACGACAACCTCGTCGTCGAGCCACCTCGATGTCTCGGTATCGTCGAAGATAGACGACGCCGACCATTGCACTCAGCTGCAGCTCTCCATCGGCTCCTCGAACTAAACTGAGAGGAGCAACAACGGCGAGGCGGCGGAGAACGAGAAATAGAGCTTCAGGGCGATGAAGGAGGAGGCGCGGGAGCAGCTGAGGGCGGGGATGGAGGAGAAAGCGTACGCGAAGGAGGCGAGACAGCAGGCGAAGAAGCAGATCGAGTTAGCGAAGCAAGAGTTCGCGAACACCAAGAGGATCAGACAGCACGCGCAGGCGGAATTGAACAAAGCGCAGGCGTTGAGAGAGCACGCCATCCAGCAAATCAACTCCACGCTCTTGCAGATCACCTTCCATGCCTGCAAGCACCCGTTCCAAGCTTCCGGCATAGTTTCTAGCCGCCCCGAAAATGCTTTGGTGTTCAACTATATCTCCTTGGCTTTAATGGAGAGCTGCGACCTAGACGGAAAAAAGTGATACCTTCAATTCGTCTTTCTATATTATAACTGTTCTTCATTGTCTCTTCAAACTTTTTTATATTCGAATTTAAAAAAGTTCCGCTTTTGCATTGTCTTTTTGTTTCTGTTGAAAAAAGTCATCCAACAACTTTCTCAACGTGAATAATGTTTCATCACTTGTAATGAATGATTTTTACAAGATGACCATGTTTGTTAAAATGAATGGTTCATATTATTTTGGTTCAGAATTTTTTTATGATTTTTCTTATTTTCTTCCCTTTTTTTTTTTTGAATGTTACTGGCCCTATTACATTGTAATATCTGTTCATATACTTTCTCAACCTACTGAAACACAAAGAACCTACTGAAACACAAACAGAATTGAAAAAGCCTTTATTTCAATTTCATTATGAAAGTTTTCTTTTTATTTATTTTTTCATTTCTTTTTCCAGCTACACTTTTTTGTATCTAGATTCTATAGGTAGTGCCAATACAAGTCCTTTTGTTTTATTTTCATTCATTTAAATGAATATATGAATTATTCATATATTAGTTATTAGTATATTAGTTATTAGCATTTTTTTTCCATTTTTCAATTGAACCAATTTCAATTGAAAATGGAATTTCTTTTCTTTCCCAAATCTAGCTAACCTAACCCCGGATTCGTCTCTAGGAGAACTTCAAGAATCCCAGTCTTGAAAGTCCGGCGAAAATGAGGATAAATAGAATGTCCCCCAGAAATCATTAATTAGGCGTTCCGTAGCAGTAATTCCATTCATTCGAGGTTCTTCATGATTCATTATATTCCCATAATTTGTGCTTGCCCCATCACTCCGAACTCCATCATCCCTATTCTGGCTAGTATACAGGCGGTAAAAAAGCTTTATGAGGTAAGCAACTCCGGTCCGTGTGGTGGGCCCATGATATACTCCTAGTCTCAAAAGGTTTGTTGATTTCATATTAGCGTATATATTATTTACTTCCTCGATCATCTCCCGGGTAAGTCTATTCACACAAAGAACCTACTGAAACACAAAGAACCAATAACGCCTCCACTGAGGCTTGAACTCACAACCTTCCAAATGGAAGTCCAACCCGGATACCATTAGACCACATAGTCCTGGTATACATTTTCTTCCCTTAAATAACTATACATTTTGTTTGTATAAACTTTAGCAACGAAATATTCTATTCACTATTTATTATAAAGAGATATAATTTCATTAGTTATATTATCTTTATTTTCTACAATTCAAAGATTCATTACATGCCAAGACATTATGGTCTAATGGCATAAGGTTGCACTCCCATATGGGAGGTTGTGGGCTCGAGCCGTGCTTCAATAGGTTCACAAAGTAGTTATGAACATATACTACATTGTAATAGAGTCAGTAGCATTAAAAAAAAAATAAAAAATTACTGGCACTGTTTGATAAAATAGTTAGTATATCAATTAATTTTGACTTATTTGATCATTATTAATTGTTTGACTTGGTTAAAAAATCAATATAAGTGTTTGGTTAATTAATTTTTGTAACTCTAAAATGCTAAAATTCAAAAAATTGTTCAAAACAACTTTTTTAATTAGTTTTTTAAGAAAAAAAATATACCAAACAACTATCAGCTAACAACTAATTTATCAAACACATTTTTACAAATCGGTCAATTTTACCAACTAGTTATACCCTCTAATTAACATAATCAGATAACGGCTAACAGCCATTTACAAAAGCAGAACACTTCCACAAGTTTTGAGCTCGTTCAGAAAAGGTCATCAATATTTTGACAAACTTGCCGATAGGGTTTTCAGGAGATTTCGGTCCTCTAAAATGGTAATAAACGAACTCATATTTGCACCAAAGTTGAGCTATGAACATTTTTACCCAAGTAAAAGAGTTCCACAAAATTTTTAGCCCGTTATAAAATGGTCACCGATATTCTAAAAAAATTCGCCGGTATGATTTTCAAAAGCGTCTGGTCCTCGAATATGGTAAAAGATCACACATCTCTAACTTCATCAATCTCATATTGATTGTAGGACAAACCTCCTTATCTCTTTAAATGCTACAAAGTTGGAAAAAAAAATGAGTAATCAATGACTACCCCTATAATAAACATCATTCATAAAACATCAAGGGGATCAATATCAATCAACACCATTCCTTAACACGCTATCTCTTTCAGCACATAATGACTCCCCCTATAACATGCGTCTATTCCACAATGAAATGAATAGGGCCAAACAGTGAAATAATGGAAATATAAGAAAAATCATCAGGAAATTCACATTCTTAATGGCATATGCAGCAAGTAAAAAGTGAGTAATCAAGGGGATAAATAAGGAAGTAAGCATTGAACTCAACATTAGTAACAGAATGGAATTTGTTTACTCTAGTAATTAAAGCCTTGGGGAGAGGAGTAGCTTCCTTTATTTATTATGTCTCTTCCAAATACTCTTGTATGCCTATATATTGATCTGTAATCTGAAGTTAGGAGTATGAATAAGAAACCTTTCTAGCCTTTTAACAAAAGAGAAGACAATCATAATTCAAAAGACACTCTGACCCCTTTCCCTACCCAAAATTATAATCAACAAAGACGAACATAAAATCAAAAACATGTGATTCATTGTAAATTTTGATAAAAGAATAAACAAATGGCTCATTTTAAGGAGATACACAAATTGCCAGCAAGTTAATTCACATCATTGACTCTAACAAATTTTATTAGGCCATTACCTGTATGTTACGCATTTTGCTGGATTTGCCGGTGTAATTGCACAATCCAATCCATATAACCATTTGTACCACCAACCTGGTCCTCAACTAGATTTCTTAGAAGGAAGAATCCTTCTCTCGGCTGTTCATCTTGCCTCACAAGGTGACATAATTGATAATACGATGGGTCACTTTGTCTAAACTTTCTAAGCAAGCCCATCAATTTTCTTGACACTTCATTATCTTGCTCATGTAGACAAACCTGATCTCAAGGAGACAAAAAATAGCCACATCAGAGGAAATTTTACAAAATTAAGTGCAAAATAAAGCTAAGGTAGCATGTCAACTTTGGCCAGAGCTATTTTCTCTTTTTTCTTTTTATTTGTTGTGGGGTAGAACACAAAGCAGGGGGGAATAAAATAAAATCCATGATATGGAGCCAGTCAAATAAAACAGAAAATGTTTAAAGATTATAAAGTTGTTTGGTTGTTGGTACCAAAATGTTTTAAAATATGGAATTACCTTCCTTCGTAGGAAGTAGAATGGAAGATTATCTAGAGAAAAATCTAGATTAAAGAAAGACAAACCAAATCAGCATTTTCCATTCCTCTTTAACCTACATTCAAAATCAAAGAGGAACGGAATGCAATGAAAGAAAAGTGATTTTTTTATACCTAGCCTAGAGAACAAAGATACAATTGCACCAGCATCAGCAAGGCGATACATTTCTCCTAATTCTGCAACCACAGGTGCTGCT